CCCCCCTGCCCCTCACTGCCTCACTGGTACAGTAAGGCAGGTCTCTCTGGGGGATCATGGCACTGATGCGCCCCTCCTGTCTGTGAGCACCCTTCTTATTTGGGGCCTGGGGAGGTAGAAGAGAAGTCACCCTGGAGACCTGTCCTGGCCATAGGTGTGGGCCTGCTGACCTCAGAGCTGGGCAGGGAGGGACCTGTAACCGGAGGCTCCCCAGAGCTACGGGGCTGTGGGGGTGCTATGAATCTTTGATGACAGCAGCTCAGGTGTCCCAGACTTGGCCTCTGGATTATTGATGGTGGCTAGGGAGTCAGTGGGCGCAGGTGGGGGGTATCTTCCCCGACTGGGGTGTCATTTTGCCCTGGTAACACTGGATGGTTCCTGTCAGCCATTCCCTGGGGGAAATCCTCAGCCTCTCTCCTGGAAGGCCTGAGTAGGCAGAAGGGGCAGCTCAGCACGGCCTGCCTGCTGCCCTTAAGGTTATAAAAACTGGCCCGTTCACACCTCATCGCACCCCCTGGAATTTGGGGATATTGTCTTCCTTTTATCGATGAGGTTCAGCGAAGTCAGAGGTCACACAGCTAAGGGAGAGGGGAGCCCCAGAAGCCAGACTCCCTGCCTCGGGGACCTGCTTGGGGCCTGCTGGTGGCCCAGGGGGCTGAGCCCACTGCCCGCAGTCCCCACCGTGCTGCTCTGAGCTCCAAGGGCCTGCTGGACTCTGTGGGGACCCTGCACATCCAGTGGCCTTGGAGGGTGGTACACAGCCTACAGGGGGGCACCTGAGGACGTACCCAGAGTTTGTTTTCCTAAGGCCCCCCCCCTGCCCAGCCCAGTGGCCCTATAAATATGCTCTGACCTCAGCCCTCCAGCTGTGTTCCTGCTGGATTTCTTCTGACCCCTGGGCGGCCCCAAGGTCGTACTGGCTGGCCCTGCTCACCCAGACCCAAGAGGGCCCTGTGCCTTGGGGACCTTGGGTTGTGTATCTCCCAGTGGATCCACCTGACTCCCATGGGTCACAACTCTGACCATGAGCCTCACTGTGTACTTGGGCCCTTCGTCACTGGGCATCGCCTTTTGGCTCTGGGGCCCAAGTACAAGATGGAGGTGCTGTCGGGGAGTTTCTAGGGGCCACTCCTCTTCCAGGAAGCCTTCCCCACTGCCTAGAGATTGAGGGCTGTGGCCCCCAATTGAGCTGTGCCAGGGCCGGGGCGGCCCCTCAGAGTCTGGCATCCCGGCTGCTGTACTTGTGCCGAGGCCAGGCGTGCATGTGATGTGTATGTCTGTTTGTGTCTTGTGTGTTTCTGTGTGTGCATTGTATGTCCTCTCGCCCGCACGCATGTCCTAGCCAAGCTTTGCATTTGCATGCCCATGTGTTGTTAGTTACCTGGGAACTGTGTGTGTGCGTGCATGTCCTGACCCCGACCCCGCCTCTCCGCACCCCCACGTGATGGGGCCTGGGTCTGAGCCAGCTTCACTAGAAGGGCCAGCCTCTCTCCGGAAGGAGCTGGAGGGGCAGCCTCATGACTCAGCCCCTAGGAGGGAACGGCTGTCTGGCCGGGCCCCTTCCTTCCCCTTTGTCTGGTCATGGCTGCCCCCCCCCACTGGGAGGGGGGCGCGCCCCCCCCACCACGCCCCTGCTGCCGGTCCTGTGGCTAGGGCCGCCCCAGTCCCTCACTGCCTCACTGGTACAGTGAGGCAGGTCTCTCTGGGGGATCATGGCACTGATGCGCCCCTCCTGTCTGTGAGCACCCTTCTTATTTGGGGCCTGGGGAGGTAGAAGAGAAGTCACCCTGGAGACCTGTCCTGGCCATAGGTGTGGGCCTGCTGACCTCAGAGCTGGGCAGGGAGGGACCTGTAACCGGAGGCTCCCCAGAGCTACGGGGCTGTGGGGGTGCTATGAATCTTTGATGACAGCAGCTCAGGTGTCCCAGACTTGGCCTCTGGATTATTGATGGTGGCTAGGGAGTCAGTGGGCGCAGGTGGGGGGTATCTTCCCCGACTGGGGTGTCATTTTGCCCTGGTAACACTGGATGGTTCCTGTCAGCCATTCCCTGGGGGAAATCCTCAGCCTCTCTCCTGGAAGGCCTGAGTAGGCAGAAGGGGCAGCTCAGCACGGCCTGCCTGCTGCCCTTAAGGTTATAAAAACTGGCCCGTTCACACCTCATCGCACCCCCTGGAATTTGGGGATATTGTCTTCCTTTTATCGATGAGGTTCAGCGAAGTCAGAGGTCACACAGCTAAGGGAGAGGGGAGCCCCAGAAGCCAGACTCCCTGCCTCGGGGACCTGCTTGGGGCCTGCTGGTGGCCCAGGGGGCTGAGCCCACTGCCCGCAGTCCCCACCGTGCTGCTCTGAGCTCCAAGGGCCTGCTGGACTCTGTGGGGACCCTGCACATCCAGTGGCCTTGGAGGGTGGTACACAGCCTACAGGGGGGCACCTGAGGACGTACCCAGAGTTTGTTTTCCTAAGGCCCCCCCCCTGCCCAGCCCAGTGGCCCTATAAATATGCTCTGACCTCAGCCCTCCAGCTGTGTTCCTGCTGGATTTCTTCTGACCCCTGGGCGGCCCCAAGGTCGTACTGGCTGGCCCTGCTCACCCAGACCCAAGAGGGCCCTGTGCCTTGGGGACCTTGGGTTGTGTATCTCCCAGTGGATCCACCTGACTCCCATGGGTCACAACTCTGACCATGAGCCTCACTGTGTACTTGGGCCCTTCGTCACTGGGCATCGCCTTTTGGCTCTGGGGCCCAAGTACAAGATGGAGGTGCTGTCGGGGAGTTTCTAGGGGCCACTCCTCTTCCAGGAAGCCTTCCCCACTGCCTAGAGATTGAGGGCTGTGGCCCCCAATTGAGCTGTGCCAGGGCCGGGGCGGCCCCTCAGAGTCTGGCATCCCGGCTGCTGTACTTGTGCCGAGGCCAGGCGTGCATGTGATGTGTATGTCTGTTTGTGTCTTGTGTGTTTCTGTGTGTGCATTGTATGTCCTCTCGCCCGCACGCATGTCCTAGCCAAGCTTTGCATTTGCATGCCCATGTGTTGTTAGTTACCTGGGAACTGTGTGTGTGCGTGCATGTGTGTGTCTAAACGTGTGTCCACTCACGTTGGACCAACTGAGTGTGCATTGACACACGAGGGTGTTCACATGTGTGCTCCTCTCCATCTCGTGTTCTTTTCACACACAATGGATTGAGTGCCAGGTGACACGTGCTGCGTGTGTGTGAATGGACGTACAGGTTGGTGCACGTACGGTGTCTCCTTGAGGACTTGACAGAGCTGGGTGTCCGCGCCATGTCAGTGCTGGGCCATCTAGGGGGCTGACTGGGTGGGGGCCCTTCACTCTGTGGCTGACCTGCTCATCCTGATCCCGCCCCATCTTCGAGTGGGCCACCCTGTCCCTGCCCGCCCCACCCTGTCCCCAGAGCTATCCAGCCAGCAGGCCACCCGCCTGTCACTTCTGCTGGCTAAATTTGGGAGCGGGTGTTGGGCGGCCGGCTCAGGTTCCTGGTCACATGGGGGGCTGTATTTAACCCAGCTCCCAGCCCAGCCACCAGCACCCAGCACAGAGCAGGCCAGACTCAGCCCTGTGCTCCGCCCGCTCACCCCACCATGTTTCTTGTGCTCGTAGCCACCGAGGAGCTGAAAGAGTTCTTCGCCAGGGCGCGGGCTGGCTCCGTACGCCTCATCAAAGTGGTCATCGAGGACGGTGAGTGCCCCCACGGCGACAGCGTGGGCTGTGGGGGGGTGTTGGCCTTTGTCCCCGCCCCAGCCTCATTTACCATCTGGGAATGGGGGTGAGGTCACTCACAAAGAGGAGCCTCCTGGGGGGGCGGGTGACGGAGGGGGTCCCAATCATCTGCGGCTGCATAGTTGACAGCCCTGCCCAGGGCCTGCCCAGCCGCCCCTGTGCCGCGTGGCCGTGGCCAGGACGTGGGGCTGGACGGGGGCTCAGTGGGTCCAGGCACTGCCCCATGTGGCTAGTGCTGCCCTCCTCTGTTGGCCGTGGCTGCAGGCCTCGCCTGGCTCAGCGCCGGCTGTGAGACGCGTCCTGTGATAAAAGGGACTCGTGCTCGGTCATGCTGAGATCAGGAGGGGGATTCCAGCAGGCGTGATGGGCCTGGGCCTAGACCCTGGGGCCCCCAGGGCTGTGTCGGAGTGGTGCAGGGCTTGAGCTGAGGCCTGAGGTGAGGAGGGTCTGAGGAGGCAGAGGATCGGACTATGGCTGATTGGGGAATTCTGTGCCAAGGGATTGTCCCTGGGGTGAGGGGTGCAGAGTCTAGGACCGGGCTGGGCCAGGACCCCCACGGGTCCTTCAGTCCTTCTCAGAAGCCATGCTGTACTGGACCCCTTTTCCCCTAATTGAGTTGCTCAAAGCAGGATCTACTCAGACCCAGGATTCACCCCAGGATTTAGGGCCATGTCTGTGGGGGCTTTGCCAAGGTCTCCAAGTTCAGATGTCATCGGAGGCCGGGTGGGGTCATGTGGTAGGTCAGGCATGAAAGCCTCCTGGGCGCAGGCAAACAGCCTCCCTCCCTCACGGAGGCAGCTGCACCCCCAGGTGTTAAGCAGGAGGAATGTCTAGGTGGCATGTAGCCCAGCTCTGCGTAATCATTGTTGGGGCACCTGGCAGTGCCAGGAAGGTCTCGGCCCCCTGACAGGTAGCCACTGCCTGTCTCTGGCTCCAGTGAGATCGAGCTCCTGGTTTTTCTGGAGAAGCTATGAGTTCCACCTCTTGTGTAATATTCCATGGTTTGAAATGTTCCACCAACTTCAACTGGACAAGGCCCTGGGTCTGACTCGGCCTGGCTGCAGGAGTTCCACCTGATGCCCTCTGAGTTCTGGTGGGCAGGCCCACGAGAGGTGGCCGGACCTGTGGACCTGGTGTGTTCGGGCTCCCAGGCCACCAGGCCCTTTGCCCTCATTAGAGGGCCTGGTAGACAGGCTCTGGGACCCCTTGGCCAGGCTGTTGTTTCCCCTTTGCCCGAATATTCCCTGCAGTGTGGGCTGTACACACCGGGCTGGCGTGTGGTGCCCTCCCAACGCCCCAGCCCGCAGGTGCACCTGGAGTGTGCCCAGCATGTGCCCAGCCTGCTGCCCACTCAGCTTCTGCAGCAGCCATTAAGAAGTTGGCTGCTCTGGGTTAGTGACTTCTGGGGAGGAGACTGCAGCTGATGGGCAGCAGCCACAGGGTACCCATTTATGCAAGGTCTGGTGGGAGCCCCTGCTCCCCTCTGTTCTAGATGCTTTGGCTCCTGCAGGTCCCTGTGGCCTGAGGCTGTGACACCACCTTTCTCAGCACATTTGTCCTGAGAGGAGCATGCTGGGGTTCTCTTGGGACCTCGGGTCAAGGGAGGAGGGGAGCAGGAGGTGCCTGGTGAGGGCTGTGTGCTGAGCAGCTGTGCCAGTAGGATGGGGTCAGAGCACAGAGCGTCCATAAGGGACACATCACACATGTGACTGTGGACACACTGCTGTGTGCCCGTCACATGCGTGTGCATGTGTGTGCACACATGCACACACATGACAGGCACATGTGTATGTGCTGGGGCTGTGGAGAGGGAGCCCCCCGGCTGAAGCTCGGGGTCCTCAGGCATTCCCTCCCTCACTTGCTCACAGTCACACAGCCTCGTGGTTTAGGGACTGGGGGGCTCCAGGGAAGGTGGGGTCGAGTAGCCAACAGGTTGGCCTGGCTCAGAAGCCCCAGCTGGGGACAGTGGGCCTGGTCAGAGGTGGGGTGGAGGGGCTACTTCTCGGCTCACCCGGCCTCTGCCCCCAGAGCAGCTCGTGCTGGGCGCCTCGCAGGAGCTGGGGGGCCGCTGGGACCAGGACTACGACAGGGCTGTGCTGCCGCTGCTGGACGCCCAGCAGCCCTGCTACCTGCTCTACCGCCTCGACTCCCAGAATGCCCAGGGCTTTGAGTGGCTTTTCCTCGCCTGGTCACCTGATAACTCTCCTGTGAGTCCAGGGACCCCTCCCCAGCCCCCCGAGCTCAGGGATGGTGGGGAAGTAGACGGGGGAAGCTGGATGTGAACTGGATCGCAGAGCCCTGGGCTGGGGAGTCTAGAAAAGAACGCAGGCCTACTCTAGGGAGGCCAAGGGGGACAGGCCTGCCCTGGGGAGGCTAAGGGAAGGACAGACCTGCCCTGGGAGGACTAAGGGGGGACAGACCTGCCCTGGGAGGACTAAGGGGGGACAGGTCTGCACTGGGGGGACTAAGAGGGGACAGGTCGGCCCCGGAAGGACTAAGTGGGGGACAGACCTGCCCCGGGAGGACTAAGGGGGGGATAGACCTGCCCCGGGAGGACTAAGGGGGGACAGACCTGCCCCAGGAGGACTAAGGGGGGGACAGGCCTGCCCTGAGAGGACTAAGGGGGGGATAGGCCTGCCCTGAGAGGACTAAGGGGGGGACAAACATGCCGGCGGAGGACGAAGGGG